CAAGCTCGTACCACAAACAAGTCCTGTGCACGAGTTAAATAGCGAAACTCTCATGCGAGTAATCAAAAAGTGAAAATGAAGGAACAAGTGATGGGACGAATTGCGCTGAGATATTTGAAAACAACCATCATTCACTTAACTCGTCCCATATCGAAGCGTGAGCTGACTAGTGCAGTGGATCTAGCCTAATTTAAAGTGAACGAATCGAACAGCTCGACTAAATCATTTAACATCCCTATTGACAATTGACACCTATTGACACATCCCGTCCTAAGACTCAAGACGTGACGTGAGCCGACGATAAGTGTCAGCTAGGTATTGGACCCATCACCAAGGCAAAAGTAACTAAACTTTAATAATAAAGCTTCATTTGACCAATTAAAATCTTTCTGAACTCCAATATACCAACATAATAATAGCATTCGCTCGTTTAGCGAAAAACATCCATATCATTTTCATCAAAACTGCCTCTCAAAAGGATAATAGAAGACAGTTTAGATTACAATATTCCATCATGATCATTGGTGCATATAAATACCCAAAAAAATTTCCTCCAATATGATGCAAATATTTCACTTGATGATTACACAATTTCAAACAAAAGAACCTACAATTGGTGATAGCAATGACTGTAAAACTATCAAAATAATCTCCACCACAGCTCAATCAACAGCCTCCTATAAGGAAAATATGAGATAATAATCCCAGTGAGTGAAGTGCTTAAAAGATGATTGTACTGTCCTTTATGTGTGTGTGTGTTTGTGTGTATAATTATATACAATCAAATGAGTAAGTACATTAGACAATTCAATAATCAAAAACCATAATCTAAAATCCACAAGCAAAACTGTAAACAGAAAAAATATAAGCTGAAGACTAATAATTCACTATATAATTAAAATTCACATCAAAATATATCACATGTAAACATCTACTAATGATCTGAAAGCTATAAATCATATGTACATAAATCGTTTGATCAATATTCTGTACATGGCTGTAGCCCCTCAGCGTATAATGGATACCTTTACCCACGGTAGTAACTCCTCAGTGGATAAGAGTTACCCTTACACACGACTGTAGCCCCTCAGTGTATATTAGATACCTTTATCCACGGTCGTAACCCCTCAATGGATAAAAGTTAAATACATGACTCTAGTACATGGCCGTAGCCTCTCAGTGCACTAGAGTAAGATAATCACATCAATTATTTTATGATAATTTCAAAACAATCATGCTCATTTACTAATTCTCGAAAATAAAGTATTTCATGTAATTAACATGCTTCTATAAAATAAAAAGAAAATCTTCTTTTTGAAAATATAGATTCTCCACTCACAGATATAGGCTGGACTAATGGGGCTAGTATGCTGTTCCCATATCCAAATCCCCTCCTGAAACGATCATAAATATAAGCCACTTCAATTCCATCCATATACAGTTACAAGGAATCTCTCAATAATAACCCCTTTTTATCATCAAAATAAAATATATATCCTTCAATAAGCAATAAGCTAAGACTTAATATTTATATTTCATTTGGTTACTTAAATATACGTTCACTTAATTTTGAATCACTCGACATCCTTCACTCGTTAATACTAACCTTTCCCGACTGCCCCATAAAGATTCAACAAGCTTTTCATGATAATAATCATCTACATTCCTTATTTAAATTCTCTTTTAACTAAATACATAAATCTTATCAAAAGCTCCTTTCTTATATTCTCCATATTCATTCAAAGTGAGAATTCAAGCATAAAATAAATTATTTTCAACTAATCTAACTTAATAATACCATAAAACAATCACTAGGGAAAATAACAAGAATGCATATTTTTCCCCAAATTTTCGGATTAACCCACATATAACAAAACCCTAATATCTAAATATCATTTCTTCCAATCCACTAGAATAACTAGCTCCAATTACTAAAATAGTTAGCTTCCTTATCATATTTTTCAAGTATAAGTTATAAATTTAAAATCCTAAACAAAAATTTACAAAAATTAAACCATAAATTAACCTTACCTCTTGAAGAATTAAATAAACAAGATTGAAGTAGTTGGCACAAGATTTCTTCTTTCTTTTTCCCTTTTTCCTTTCTTTTTCTTTTCTTCCCTTTTTCCTCTTGTCTGCGTTCTCTCTCGTTCAACACATTCCAGTGTGTGTTTGTGTGTGATTTTTGAGGGAAAAAATGGTCAAAGTTTGAATATAAAGGCCACTTGTTCAAAATTGCAAAGGTCCCTATTCTTTAATAGAATATAACATTTAAATTCTAAACTTCCAAATATATATATAAGTAAATTTCCAATTTTAAATTGTAGCCAATTTAACCCTCATATATGGCCAATTATAAAATAAATTCCAATAAAATATTTAATTTCATTTTAGTCTTAACTGTTTTTGACTTTGACTAATCAACATTTAAATTTTGACTAGAAAAATTTAGATTGTAACACCAATATCATCTAGCATATCAAATGTTTCCAAATATATAATCGTATAAATATAATCTTTTTTGGCTCAACACTGTCTTCTCAATGATAAATGTCTTACATTTTCAATCGTGTAAAAGTTCTAGAACGTCCAATCAGTTTTACTTTACAAATTGGGATTCAAATATATAATTAGCACACGAAACATGTGAAAAGCGTTGGTTGACGTGTAAAAAGTTACCCCTCTTCTTTAGCTGAAATAGATATATGTCATTAGTCGGCGTTATGGTTTTGTTATAATTTTCTTGTGTGCCCCAGTGGGATCAGATTTGCTCGTCATATTATTTAAGATACTGATTTTTAAGATGAACAAAAATAAACTAATTTCACATTTTCAATAAAATTATAATATACCACTCATTTTTACAAGAATTTTGAAAAGGGATAATTGCAGCAAAAGTTTCAAACTTTTGAAACATTAGCAGACTTTTTCCAGATCTTTGATTTATTGCAGTTATCACTCCCAATCTTTTCAAACGTTGTAGGTGAGGTCTTTTGGACGATTTTCATCCACAATTCCGTTAGTTGACCAGAAATTTAACTTTAACCATATTTTTAATATTTTAAGAATGGGTAAAAGAATAACTTTCTATTTATAAAATGATTACATTTATAAAATTAAAAATAAGAAAAAACAAAACAACCCTCTTCTTCCTCTCATCCCCCACCCCGCACCCCTACCTCAAATCCTTAGCCAACCGAAAATGCAGAACACAACAATTGCATTCTCCCCTTCCTTTTTCTCTCTACGAAGTCTCAAAAGGCCACCTCTCTCTACAGATTCAATCTCATTTCTCTCACCCCGTCGAAACAGCTCTATTTAAAGAATCGTCGGGTGTCAGGCTCATACTTCTTCTAGTCGTAAAGTGGGTTTAATTATCTGTTCTTTGAGACCCAATGGGTGGATTTCGAACCAAAAGAGCAGAATTCTTTCATTCTGATTGGTAATGGCATCATCATCGATTGCGAATCCTAAAGCAAACTCAAATCCATTGTTGAAAAAGAGAAGAAAAATCGGGGTGGAAACTCGGGCTCAAATTCATTCTAAGGAGATGAGATGAAGATGGAAGACATAGGCGAAGCAACAGATCTACTCGTCGAAGCTTTTAAATGCCCTCTACAATCTTCATGCACCTTGTTTCCACCACAGCATTCGGGTAACTCTGCTAAGGCCGGACTCGATGGAGCAGGGTAATTCTCATCGGTTGACTCAATCGATGACTCGCTTAGTTCAACAGGAAAATTATCTGTTCTTTGAGACCCAATGGGTGCAAAGGCATTAGCTCTTTGAGAAGCTCTTCGGTTTGCCCAGAGTTCGGATCTTCTCATGGCTAAGGTGGAATGTGGTGGAGGTTGTTCAGTGGTGATTGTGATGGGGTGAATGGTGGTAGTCGGTGGCAGGAGGTTGGTGGAGGTGGCGAATGTCGAGTTACTGAGGGTTTGACGTGGGGTGGGGGATGAGAGCAAGAAGATGATTGTTTTTTTTTTTCTTATTTTTTAATTTAATAAAATGTAATTATTTGATATGATAAATGAAAAGTTACTCTCGTGTCCCTTTTTAAAATATTAAAAATGTGGTCGAAGATAAATTTCTTGTCAATCGACGGAATTATAGATGGAAACATTCAAAAGGCTCTCATCTACAACGTTTAGAAAGGTTATGGACGACAGCTGCAATAAATCAAAGGTTCAAAAATAGTTTGCTAGTGTTTCAAAAGTTTGGAACTTTTACTGTAATTATCCCTTTCGAAAATTATGGCAAAATTTTAGACTCTATGATTTAGCTCCTATTTGAATCTCATTAATTTCCTTTCCATTACATTTAATTTTTCTCCCTCTTATTTTTAAAAACACAATTTTTCATAAAATAATATTACACGTAAATCGAAAATTTTTCATTCTTTTTCAAAAACTCATTTTTCAAAAAATATTATTCAACCCATTTTCGTTTTCAAAAAAGGAGGCTTAAGATGTAATGAAGACGGCAAAGGGAAGGAGAGCAAGCCTTGGCTCTAGCTTAGCCCAACCCCCTATATATCAATTCAGTAGAAATGTTTTTCTTTATCTATCTTGACTCTACCCTTAAGAAAGGGTCAATCATGCTCTTTCAATCGTTATAAAACTCTTGTTTGAATTTTATTTTTTTTTTAAAAAGATTTTTAAACAGTATATTGATAAAAAATATATAATTAAAATATAAAAAAAAATTTTAAATTTACATGTAATATTGCCCTTGTATGAGCCCCATTTTTTGAGAAGAATGAATTTTTAAATTATGTATTGATGAAAAATGTATAGTTAAAATATAAAGAAAAATTTTGAATTTGTGTGTAATATTATTTTATTAAAGAATGTATGGTTTAAATGATATTACAACACTGTTGAAAAATGTATTTTTTCAAAAGAATGGATCACAAACAAGGCCATTATTTTTTTGAAAAATATCTGATTGAAATAATGTTAAATTACTGTTTAAAAATAATTTTTTTTCAAAGAATGGGATAGGCAAAATCTTTTTGTAATTATTATTTTCATCAGCATCTCTACACGAATAAAGCAAAAGATTGAAAATGTAGCAATATCAAAACCCAAAAGTTTGGAGAAATTTACAACCCTTTCTTCAACACAAGAAGTATTTACAAGTTGACACAATTCTTTTTCTCATCCTCTTTCCTCCTTTTTCGTCGTCCTCCATATTTTCTGCGCCTTCCATTGCGGTTTGGCTGATAAAGATTGATGGGTCCCACGGGGGGCACGCGGGGACACATCAAACCGACACATTAGATGTTCTTGCAGATGCAGCGCCATTCCCGGATCGTGGCTGCCGTAAAACCTCAATCAGTGCTTCTGACTGTCCCCAAAATCACACCACACAAATCAAATTACACATGCCACTCTACAATAATGAATAATACCTTTGTACCAAACAAGTGTGTGACATAATCTTTAATATTAATGCTACTATTAAATTTTTAACACACAATTAACTTTTTCATCAAATCACATCAACAAAGATGAAAAAAATAATAACAATAATTCTACTTGTACAAAGTTTCTTTACAAAGTTCGTTGACAAAAGATATGCTAGTAAAATTTAGGCCATCAATGTCAAATGATTTAAAAACATGTTTTTGAAATGATTGGTGTGAATATTATTTTGCCAACCTACTTTGTAAACTATGTTTGTAAGTGTAGCACAACTCTAAAAATAATGTAGTTGGTTTGTGAGAGATTATCTGAAGTAAAAAATAATTTCATATTCCTTCCTTATTCTCATCAAGGAAAACACAAGTTTCTTCTTTATGAATAAAAAGAAAAGGTTTGTTGGCCACGAAATTATCTCCATAAATATTATTTTATGGGTTTTAAAAGTGAGTTTAGTACTCTACTTGATTCATACGATGATACGAAAATGAAAGAACTTGTGACCAATGCACTAAATATAACACAACCTAATCCTAAAGCACCACTAAGAGTCCCATTGGCTCTTTAGTTACATATTTTTGTGAAGATGATTCGATGACACTCGTTATATGTCTATTATGGTGTCTAGCTTTGTCCCAATCCTGATCCAAACCCAATTCTACCTATCGATAACATGGCTTTTCACTAAAAACAAACAAAATTAAAGTGAGCACCTTTGTCCACTCAAAGTTGTAATGATATTTTAATTGGTTCTATGTGTAGACAACGTGTGAGAGACTTGCACCACCATTATTGACGGACCAATAACCAAAACAAATTATTCCTGTTAATTAATTCATTAAACTACTCTTAATTAATATCTTTAGATTAAGCATTTAACGATTTCATCTGTTCATGGAACAAATGAGCATGTTTGCCAAAACATTTTTAAAAAAATTACTTATTCTTTTATAGTTGAAATTTAAAATTAAACAAGTTACTTGTCTTACCTTCTGTTTTGCACGACTTGTTCCGGTCTGCGACAAGGCGACCAAAGGCGGAATCGCTCCTTCGCGGGCCACCATTGTCCGGTAGATCAAGCTATCTTCGCATAATTGCAATAATATGCACGCTGCAATCTCCTTCTGCCGTTGGGTTCCCACCTCCACTAATTCCACCAGCACCGGAATGCCGCCTTCCTCCACCAGTGCCGCCCTGGCTTCCGGCGTTGATACCAATAGGCTTAAAACAAAAGCCGATTTGTCTACCATGTTCGACCCAAAATCCGCCATTAACTCCACCAGAGACTTCATAATCCCCGCCTGAACAGCCCTAGTTTTGTTCTCCTTAACGGAGCAGAGCGAATACAAAGCCGTGCAAGCATCCTTTTTGCCTCGAAAATTTCCTATCTCTAGCAAATTCACCAGCGGAAGAATCGCTCCGGACCGGCCAATCGTGATTTTATTCTCTTCGATCTGGGAGAGCCGAAGCAGAGCGCAAGCCGCGTTCTCTCGAGCAGTCGAAGTTCCCAATTTCAACGCGCGGACTAAGGGGTTGATAGCGCCAGAAGATGCAATCAAATCCTTATTTTCATCACACAGTGACAAATTAAGAATCGCAGTGACTCCATATTCCTGTAATTGAGCATCATTTGACGAAATTATCGATACAAGCGGTTTAATGGCGCCAGTTCTTGCAATTTTTATCCGATTCTCCGGTTTGTTTTTGGCGAGCAACCTGATTCCCATGGCGGCTTGTTTTTGATCATCTATATTATCGGACTGGAGGTCCAATATCAGTTGAGAAATCAACTCCTCAGAATTATCAGAAGCGCAGGCGAGTAACAGGCGGCGGCTCTGAGAAGACGTCGTCGGAAACTCGCCGGATCTATCACTGTTACAGTCGCTGAAGGCGGCGGAATTATCATTGATATTCAAATCGCTGAGTTTTCGCCCAAAATAGCTGATATTTGAGCTAAGGGAATCCGATTCCATTGAAAACGACAGCGTGTTAGAGCTCTAATTGTTTGAATTTAGGGTCCACACTCTAAAAGATTGAGAAACGAGGAGAATATAAATGACTGGATTATGGGGTGGGTTGCGTGGGGGTATTAGGGTCGAAGGAAAGGACACGTGCACGACCGCATCGAATACCAGTCTGTGCAGTACGTGTGAGGTTTCTCGTGTAACGCGTGAGCAGAAGTTTCCCTATTCGATACAATTTTCCCCCCTTTTTTTTCTTTTTTGAGGTCAGTCTGGTAAATTTATAAAGGACAGCTTACAAAAATACTCCTAAAATTACATGTGTTCTGAAAAATCATATGAAAAATATTTTGGAAGTAAAAAATACTTTGTAAAGTGTCACTTTTTTACATACATATTAAAAAGGTGACGTACAAATAAAAAAATTGATGTTTATCACTTAAAAAAGTAACAAAAATTCAAAAAAATAACAAACAATAAAAAAATGAGAAAAAATCGACAAACACTAAAATGTGACATATATTTAAAAAGTGATATAAATTGAAAAAAGTGACAAACATTTGAAAAAGTAAAAAAAATTCAAAGAAAGTGACATACACTCACAAAAGTAACACAAACTTTATAAAAATAAAAATAAAAGTGAGAAAAAAAGTGAGAAAAATAGAAAAAAAAAGTGAGAGAACATTCAAAAAAGTGACATACACTAAAAAAATTGCACAAATCCAAAAACAAGGTGACGAACAATTAGAAATGTGACAAAATTTTAAAAAGTGACAGAAATTCAAAAAAAGTTACAAACACTCGAAAAAAGTGACGAAGTTCAAAGAAAGTAACGTATATTCAAAAAGTGACAGAAATTTTAAAAATGTCAGAAGTATAATGTCATTTTTATTAACAAGTGATATTTGTCACTAAAAAAAGTTACAGAAATTTCAAGAAAGTGAGTGACAAACTTCAAAAAGTGATAAAAATTCAAAAAAGTGACCAGCACTCAAAAAAGTAACATAGCCATCATCTCTCCTCTTTTTCCATTCACCATCAAACATTTTTAAATCAGTTTACCGACAAAATGCCAATCAAAATGTCAAATATTTTTAAATCAATTTACAGTCATCGTCATCTAGCAATTCAACCAACTTATTGACCTTTACTTAATGAAAATCCCAACATGAGAATAAGTTAAGTTTTTTTTCAATCATCATCGCCTACACCAAATTCAATTACTTCTTCATCACCACCAAAATGTGAGAAATTTCACAAAAAGATGACTGAAAATAAAATTTTAAAAAAAAAAGTAACAGAAATTCAAAGAAAGTTACAAACACTTGAAAAAGTGACAAAGTTCAAAGAAATTCAAAAAATTAGAAATGTGACAAAAATTCAAAAAAGTGACAAACATTTACAAAGTGACAGAAATTCAAAAAAGGTTATAAACACTTGAAAAAGTGACAAAGTTCAAAGAACGTAATGTACATTCAAAAAGTGACAGAAATTTTAAAAAGTGTCAGAAGTATAATGTCACTTTTATTAACAAGTGATATTTGTCGCTAAAAAAAGTTACAGAAATTTCAAGAAAGTGAGTGACAAACTTTCAAAAGTGATAAAAATTCAAAAAAGTGACAAGCACTCAAAAAAGCAACACAACCACTGTCTCTCCCCTTTCTCTATTCACCATCAAATATTTTTAAATCAGTTTATTGACAAAATGCCAATCAAAATGTCAAATATTTTTGAATCAATTCATAGTCATCGTCATATAGCAACTCAACCAACCCATTGACCTTCACTTAATGAAGATCCCAACATAAAAATAAGCTAAGTTTTTTCTCAATCGTCATCGCCTACACCAAATTCAATTACTCCTTCACCACCACCAAAATGTGAGAAATTTCAAAAAAGATGACTGAAAAAAAATGATAAATATTTAAAAAGTGACAGAAATTCAAAAATGTGACAAAACTAAATAAGTGACATTTTGTCAAACGTCTTGAATCTTACCAATATCATTCTCTTCATTTCTCATCAAACTCGATCTTCCACTTTCCCGAATATGATTGAAATTTGGGAACCTAGCGTATTGGGAAGGTTAAGATTATCTTCTTCTTGACTCGGCCCATAAGGACCTGTTTGAATGGGTTCTGGAGGGTAATTGGAACCAGAGAACGAGACTAATTTTCTCAATAAGCTAGAAGAAGAAAGCTGCTATGGATGCTACCAAAATTTTTTTTTCCTAGCCGTAAGTCACACCAAGTTCAAAGCAGCAAAACTTTAATGTTTATAACAGATAAAACGGTGTTCCAAGATTAATCTCTAATGCAAACTTAAGGAAGATAAAATACAGGAACAAGAGTAAACAAATAAGTAAATTCATCTAAAAGACGAGCTCATGAGGTTTTATTCCAGCCTTTAGAGAGAGAATCTTGCTCCCAAATAGAACTTCAATTCTGGAACACTCTCAATAGCTTTTAACGATTCTGCATCAACCGCTTTTTGGTCATCTTTCTTCTTTACTGAAAGCACATTTTCTCCTCTCTTTCTGCCCCAAAGTATTCAGTCTCACCCTTCTTCTTTTCCTCAGCTTGCTTGGCAAAATACTTGTCATCGAACTTCTCCACTTCACCCCAGAGATGTCAACCTTTGAGGAAGCAGCAATAATGTAGGCTTGGTTGACACGTCTTAGAGGAAAACCATTGATCTTGAGTGATCCAGTAACAAGCAACAATCCAGAAGCAAGCTGATTCAAGAAAACAACAAGCTTCCCCTTAAATCTTTCGGTCAATATAATCAACATTGTCCTTGGAGTAATACTAGCCCCAAGTTTTTGTGGGTTTGTGCGTGCACTTGTTGGAAAGTGGCTTGTTGACATCAACAGCTAGATCAAATTTGGGTGCCTTATCAGCAGCTGGCTCAGCAGCTACAGATTTCTTCTTGTGGGTTGGGAATTTGCCTTCATTTTTGGCCTTGATAGCCCAGAGTCCCCTCTTGTGGTACTTCTGGGAACGCAAGTGTTTTCGGACGCCATAGATCAATTCCAGGTTATGGGTCACTCTCTGAGTCTTCGGCGCCAATTGTGATGAACTGTGTGTGCATCTGTGGCGAGAAGAGGGCAATACCAGATTTTTGGGTATCGGGAGTTTGCATTGGGTTTTGATAGATTAGAAAGTATTAATTACGTGATTAGATTATTTAATTAGTTTATAGGGTATTATTCAAATTAGTTGTTTTTGGGAGGTAGTGGACCTAATTTTCATGGATAATTTTGTTTGGACAGGACCACAGGCCTAATTGGCGCCTCCCTATTGGAGAGGGCGCTTGTGGACTCTGTGCCTCAATTTTCTAGACAGACAGGATCACATGGCCTTGTTCGTCCAACAAATCTCTTTATAAATTTATCATATTTAATTTTTAATTACATATTTTTATCAACTCACAAGTATTTAATAATCATCTCATTTTTTTATTTATTTATAATTTAAACGATTCATAACTTATTTCCAAACAGTGGCTTACTTTTTTTTTTCTTTTTCTTCTTTTTCTTTTTTCTAGCTTAGTATGTTATTTCTCTCTTTTTTTCCCATTTATAGGTCGATCGAAAGTGAAAATGACTTATTAACTAACTTATTTATTAATTATTTTAATTTTACAATTGGCACTAGTGAATATATCCATAAAATATATAGTAAGACATTCTCTTTCTATGGAAAGTATTATTTGTTGAAATTGATTAAAAAAAATATCAGTCCGATTAAAAATAACTCCAATAAAATCGAAAGTCTTAAACGTGTTATCTACTTGTTGCGAGTAAATGAATCCAACAAATGTTTGCGTACCAGTGATGTTGGGTGGTGGAGACAGTCATTGATGGTTGTATATAAAGATAACAAGTTCAATATGGACAAAGGTACGATGATCTAATTGTTTGTATTTCGTTTCTTTTTCAACATTTTTGTTCTTTTATCCGTCACTTTAATTGTATTTTGTCTTTTTATTTATTATATTTTATTTAGTCAACGATAAAAATGTATCGCATAAACCTGTCACCTTTGAAAAAAATAAATAAATAAAATAAAAATAAAAAAGGGAAATATGATGAATTTAATATGTGAATGCTTGACGATAGTATGTCTAGTTCGACCCCTAATTAATGCAAACAACCAAAGTACATTACAACTGATGTTTTGTTTGTACCCTCCAATTGTCATATGTTGGGATCTCATTTGAGAAGTCCATTATGTTATTCTTATCATTTCATATATTGATTCCAAGTAATTCCAATGACAGTAGGTTCCTCGAGATATACAATGATTTAGGGCATGTTTGGAGGGTTATTTTATTTCCAAAAGTTGAAAAAATGGGTATATGTTAATTTTTTTGGACATAGATTTTGAATGATTTAAATTACCCAAAATCGATGCAATTGTTATGAAAAGAGAGAAAAGTGAAGAAAATAAAGAGAATTCAATACACTTGTGTATATTTTATTAATAATCAAAGCCATATATTTATAAGGATGCATTAGGGATACAATGATAATAATTTTTAGGATTGCATGAGTATAATTATCATTCACTAATAAACTTACAATTTACAACATCCTCTCTTGAGTGACACATTATAAAATATCTACATTGTTAAAACATTGTTCGATAAAATTTCAATGGAACAAAACATCAAACAAAGGAAAAAAAATACAGTTATTTTGAAGTATTTTAAATGTTGTCTCATTAAAACATTGTTAGGCAAACTCAGTGGAATAAACCTAATTGAAGGGAAATAGTATAGCTACTCTCCTAATGTTGATCGCTGAAAATCTTTGAGTCAACGCATTCCAATCTCTTGAACCAATTTCTTGAATGTAGATGTTGGCAGTGCTTGTGAATAAATTTATCACATTGTCATTTGACCAAATTTGTTAAGCAGTGATGTCTACATTCTTTTGAAACTAATGTGTATGAAAGAATTTTGAAAAAAATATGATTCATCTCATCACCTTTGATATAGGCTCCTTTGAGTTGTGTAATAAAAGTTGTATTATCTTTATACAAAATTATTGGACTATGTTTTGTTGAATTTAACC